CTCTATGAGCTCAGTGTTTTTAGGTTCCAGAAGTAAGTGAGATTACACAGTATTTATTTTTCTGTGCCTGGCTCATTTCACTTAACATAGTATCTTCCAGGTTAATCCGTGTTGTCACAAATGACAGGATTTCTTTCTTTCTTTTTCTTGCTCTTGCCCAGGCTGGAGTACAGTGGCTTGGTCACAACTCACTGTAGCTTCAAAAGCTCCTGGGCTCAAGTGATCCTCTTGTCTTAGCCTCCAGAGTAGTTAGGACTACAGGTGGGAGCCACTATGCCCAGCTAATTTATTTTTATTTTTTAATTTTTTGTAGAGTTGAGGTCTCCCCATGTTGCCCAGGCTGGTCTCAAACGCCTGGCCTCAAGCAATTATCCCATCTTGGCCTCCCAAAGTGTTGGGGTTACAAGTGTGAGCCACCACACCCAGCCAGGATTTTCTTCTTTTAAACGCTGAATAGTATTCCATTGTCTCATAGGAACTTTAGAATCAGGCTGCAGAATTCTCCAGTGCTGAGGCCTCTGCAGGCTTCTGTGGAGAAAATATCCCACAGAGGGACCTGCACTTAGGCAGATTACAATTGTGGTCTCCTAATCTTTCTCCGGAAGCCCCAGAGGTACCTGTGGTCTAAGGAAAAGAACCCTTGGCTGAGTCATAGGACCTAGATTCTTTGCCTTGGTTTCAGATAGTAGAGGGCAGTGGTTAAAGCATGACATTTGGAGACAGGCTTGGATGAGAACCCCAGCTCCAACACTAGTTTGCTTTGTGGTCTTCAGCAAGTCATTTAACCTCTTGAAGTTTCCGTTTCCTTATTTGTAAAATGAGAATAATAAAGGTAACTACTGCACAGGGTTTTTAGGAAGACTTAATGAGATAATATATGCAAAATGCTGAGTTTAGTAAATGGTGGTTGCTTTCCCTTAATACGAAAGAGTGCCTGCAAACACAGAAATTTAGCAAGTTTCAGTGGGTGGAAAACATCCCTTCCCATCTCCATTGTCCCTGCTCCAGTGCAAGCCTCATTACCTTTGGCTGGGACTACTAGAGTAGTCTCCCAAGCATAACCATCCACACCCATCTGGCACCTGCCTCTGGGTTACTTTCACTGTTACTTTGACACCTTTCTTGGCTGCTTATAATCATTAAATTTAGGCCAAATTTCTTTCTTGCTTTCTTGCTTTCTTTCTTTCTTGACGGAATTTTCACTCTTGTTGCCCAGGCTGGAGTGCAATGGCACGATCTCGGCTCACCACAACATCCACCTCCCGGGTTCAAGTGATTGTCCTGCCTCAGCCTCCCGAGTAGCTGGGATTACAGGCACACGCCACAATGCCCGGCTAATTTTTTTGTATTTGTAGTAGAGACAGGGTTTCTCCATGTTTCTCAGGCTGATCTCGAACTCCCGACCTCAGGTGATCCGTGCGCCTCAGCCTCCCAAAGCGCTGGGATTACAGGCGTGAGCCACCACGCCCAGCCAGTTTAGGCCAAATTTCTTAGCTCAAGGACCTTTGTAAATTGCTCCAACACATTTTTTTTCTCCCAATCATTATGGTGAAAAATAACAGAATGTGAAATCTGAAGACAGGGCTCCAGTCCTGGGACCATCCACTTTCTCCCTACATGACTTTGAGGAAATCATCTCAGTTCTACATCTATACATTAGAGATAATACTGCCTCATGGGATGCATCCATCTTTCCTGCGGCACTGTGAGCCCGTGGTCAACAGGCAGGGATGAAATGCATCTTGCTCACACTCTATCTTCAGTATCCTGCATGGGGTCTGACACCGGATAGATGTTCAGCACATATTTGTTGAATGAATGAACAGGGTTGTGAGGACTGGATTTGGCATGGTCCAGGTAAAGCGCCTGACACAGTCACCAGGAGACACGCCCATATGGTAGCTGTTGCTATGCAGGTTACTAAGTGGAATGACTTTAGACACATTCCCTCTCTCTCTGGAAACATTCACGTATCCGTCCTAGGAGAGGATAGAAGGGACTCCTGCCTCTTGTTTTGTGCATCATTAGATCGTGCGTGCAGAAGGAGCTCAATAAATGCTTCCTCGGTGGATAAAGCCTCTTCCAAGGCTCCACTTGGGGCTAGCGCTGTCTAAAGAGACTGAGTTCCCTCGTTGGGGCCTGGTTCTTTTCTGCTCTTTACCCTGCGGGGAAGATGAGGCCTTCTTTAGGTCCCTCCATTCAGTTCCAGAAGCCCAGAGGATAGGTGGGCCTATAGTTCCCGCAGGATCTGCAGGACGCTCTCCGGCAGCTGGAGCAGGAGCGCCAAGGGCGGGGACGGAATGTGGGTTTAAGGGAAACCGGCGAAAGCGGGGTGGGCATGGAAAAGGGTTGTTTGAGAATCGGGGTCTGGGCAGACGGACAGCTCGGCAGC